CTAGTGACACTAATACAGTGATCAGTGCTAAAAGTATACACTGTCACTATACTAATGACACTGGCTGAAAACGGGTTAACATTTAGGGGCAATCAAAGGGTAAGTGTGTGTCTAACAATGTTCATTGTGTTTACTGTGTGGTGCTTTTACTAAGCAATGTGCTGATTTTTCCTCTCTGCTTTGCACATCGCTGCTGTCTGTAGAGAACTCTGTGTTGTTTACCAACATAGAGTTCTCTTCTGTCATTCGCTCCACCGATCAACAGGTCCCAGCCATAAATCATTGGTCGGTACCTGCTGATTGGTTTGTGCTGCAGCACATAAAGCACAGCAGGGGCTGCGCGCACGCGTGCGCCCCTTACCCAGGAATGCTGGATCACCTACATGTAGGTGATCCAGCGTGTTTACATACAGTGCTCAATCTGCAACTGATTAATTTTTTTTCTGCATTAAAGTGACTTGGTTACTAAAAAGAAAATGCAAATAGAATGTCTGTCTGCAAAGAAAAAATGAAATGCTCACCCATCCAGCTGCGCACACAACCAAATGCCACTCTGATTAACAGAAATCATCTCTGTAAAATATTTTTAGAAACTGACACTTCCTGGAGTGTCAGTCTCCTTGTTTCCTGGGCACAGGGAGGCAACTACAGCTGGAAACTAGGAGATTGCTTTAAATCAACTTCAGTCATTGATTTCTCTTTGTCAAATGACGCTTGGCGATGTGGGCAGCAGTGGGAGAGATAAGTATTTACTTTTTTTGTTCTTTCCACTTTCGTTTTTTTAGCAACAGAATCACTATATCACTATATTTTTGTTATATTCACTTGGGAAGCACCATTTCATGATATTGTAAGTTTTTGCTTTGGTTATATTAGAACTTTATTTTGTCTGCGGCCACATGTGTTATCACAGCGCAGGGTAATTACAATACATTATGATAGTGAGCAATAGCCTGCTATATAAGCTGATCCTGGGTCACAAGAGAGCAAATGTAATTGTGACCCACAAGGGAAGGATGACCAATAAAGCTTTGATCACAGTTCTTTTTAACCTCAGTGTCAAAAAATGTGTTAAAATTCAAGTGACAGCAGACATTTCTAGGTTAAAAAAAAGGAAAAACGTGGGATTCCCTTTACTTTTCAGCTAGACACTTTCAACGTTGGGGGGTATCTTGCATGGGGTGGCAAAGCTCCCCCCAAACAAAGCACCCTTGTCCTAGTGTTGAGTGTCTATTCCCCAACGTTGGTGGGGAACGATGTGGGGTAATTATCCGGCAATTATTGTGTAATCTGGAAGCCCATTTTATAATAACAAGGCACCCAGAAATCCATCCCTTCCCAAGAGATTGACTACAGGGGTACAAAGAGTTAAAATAAAATAAGAACACGCACACTTTGAAAAAGTCATTTACCCCTTCATGACCAAGGTCAAAATAAACTTTAACATCCAACTTTGCAACTTAGTCATGTGTTAGTATAACTGTACATATCATCGCAACTACTTACCGTTTTTTTCGCCGTATAAGACGCACTTTTTGTTCCCCAAAACTGGGGGGGAAATGTCAATGCGTCTTATGGAGCGAATATGGAGCGGGCCGGTCCGGTATTTCCACCGCGGCCGTGTCAGAATACCGGGCCGGCCGCTCAGCTCTGCAGCGGGACCTTACCTGTTCCTCTATCCAGCGGCGTGCTGTCTTCCCGGCTTCTGTAGTGTGGGCAATGGGCATGACAGCCGGGTGCCAAGTGCGCATGCGCAAGAAGCGGTGCTTTTTGTGAATGGTAAGGCGGTACCTGGGACACATGCCAGATCCCAGAAGCCGCCGGACCAATCACAAAGCGCAAGTGCTTCTCGCTCATGCGCACTGGGCACTGGGCTGTCATGCCGAGCGCCATTACAGAAGCCGGGAAGACAGCGCGCGGCTGGATCGAGGAACAGGTAAGATCAAACAAAAACTCTGCGGAAGTAAGAGCGGGTACCTGTCAAATTCAGGTACCCGCTCCCCACCTCCCCCAAAGGTCCGCAGTCTCTGGTCAGTCATCTGTACTGTCCGCAGTCTCTGGTCATCCCCTGTGCTGTCCGCAGTCCTGTGCTGTCCGCAGTCATCCCTGGTCATCTCCCCCTGTACTGTGTCTGCAGTCCATTAGTCTCTTCAGAGTCTCTTTTTTTTCCTGTTTTCTCCGCAGCCTGGTCTAAAAGTCCTAGTTCAGTGTTTTCGTCTTATGGTCTTATGGGTGCGTCTTATACGGCGAAAAATACGGTACTGTGTCCAGGTAAATAATACTTTTGTTTTTTTCAAGACAAATTGAGCTTTCATTCGGTGGGAAATGTCAATGGATAGTGCCTGATTGTTTTTCTTTTATTGTGGCAGGAAAACTGACTTACACTTTAGCCTTATATTGTTATGCCGTTACCAAACGCCCCTAAAAATGCAAAATAAATTCTCCTGTTCCTAATGATTGTGGCAATACCACATACAGCATGTGTGCATGATTTGTTCTGTACACCTGCAGTAGGGCCAAGAAGCCAAGAAGCCAAGAAACAATAGTACAGTTTAATTTTTGTCTTTTTTTGTCATACCAAGACACACTGCCACTTACACTAATACTCACACTGACACAAAATATATAACCTTTATTTTTATTACCTAAAACACACTCACCCTATCACTTCCACTAACTGACATTTGCACTGCCACCTACTGACACTAACTGGCATTTACACTGACACTAGCTGAAAATTACACTTGACACTAACTGCCACTGCCACTAATTGCCACTGAAACTAACAGTACGTGACACACTGACACTACTGCTACTAACACTGACACCTACACTTAGTAAACTAGGTCAAGCACTGAACTAGTAAATGTTATTTTTTTTTCTGCAGCAAACTTTTTTTTATTATTTATTATTATTATTATTATTATTATTATACAGTATTTATATAGCGCCAAAGGGTTTACTCAGCGCTGTACAATAGCAAGGGGGACAGGACATGAGACAAGACAGAAACAGTACAATACACGAGGGGTTCGAGGGCCCTGCTCTTTCGAGCTTACAATCTAGGAGGGAGGGGAGAGTGGTACAGGAGGAAGTGGCTGTGGGGAATGAGGTGGTGGGAGGAGTGGAGGAGGTCAGATGTTAGGTGAGGGTGGGGTAGGGCTCCCTGAAGAGGTGGGTCTTCAGGGTGCGCCTGAACGTGATGAGGGTAGGTGACAGTCTGATGGGAATTCCAGAGGATGGGGGAGGTCCATCTTCTCTAGCAAGGATGAATAGATACACTGTATCTTTTCCTCCTCACTAGCAGAGAAATCTGTTGTTTCTCCTGCTCTTCAAAGCAGGGAGTAAAAACCAGACACTGCTTACTACAAACAGCACATATTACACACAGTAAGAATTGTTAGGCATACAATTAGCCTTTTGATTGCCCATAAATATTAACCCCCTTCCCTGCCAATGTCATTAGTACAGTGACAGTGTATATTATTAGCAATGTTCACTGTATTAGTGTCAGTGGCAGTTATTCAGTTCCCACATAGTGTGACAGTTAGTGTCAGATTGCCTGTCGTACGATCACAGTCCCACTATAAGCTGCTGATCACTGCGATTACTAATATAAAAATTCCAGTATATATATATATATATATATATATATATATATATATACATACTGATATATATATATATACTGATATATATATATATATACTATATTGCCAAACGTATTGGGCCAGCACTCCAAATCACTGGATTCAGGTGTTCCAATCACCTCCATGGCCACAGGTGTATAAAATCAATCACCTAGGCATGAAGACTGCCTCTACAAACATTTGTGAAAGAATGGGTCGCTCTCAGGAGCTCAGTGAATTCAAGTGTGGTACCGTGATAGGTTGCCACCTGTGCAATAAGTTAATCCATGAAATTTCCTTGCTACTAAATATTCCACGGTCAACTGTTAGTGGTATTATAACAAAATGGAAGCAACTGGAAACAGCAACTCAACCACGAAGTGGTAGGCCATGTAAAATGACAGAGTGGGGTTAGCGCATGCTGAAGTGCTCACTGTGGAGAAGTCGCCAACTGTCTGTTTTTATTGGATATGCCTTATAGCAGAAAGTAAAAAATATTGGATTTTGTTCTCAAAATTTGCGGTCTTTTTCCCATTTATATAATAAAAAATAAAAACCTTCTGGTGATCAAATACCACCAAAAGAAAGCTAAAGTTAAAGTAGTGCAGTGCTGAAGAGGAAAAATGACCTGGTAATGAAGGGTGTAAAATCTTCCAGAGCTTTTAAGGTACCCCTCAAGCATATTTTTTAAAGGACTTATGTGTTTTCAGTGTTTCCACATGAAATGACCCTCTCCTCTCTGTGCAGTATTTAAACATTTTTTTCCCTTTGCATTGGTACAAATCCTCCATGGCAATGCCCAGCTCTCTGCGCTTTTTTCACAACAGCTTGCCTTTTAGCCTTGAACATGGCCAGGACTAGATAACAAGAATCCTTTGCGTACACTTCAGGTGAAAGATACAGCAAAGTAGCGTGCCCACCTGGTGCCCCATTCATGTTGGGATATTGTGAAATTTTCTGAACTTCATCTGTAGTGCACCAGGGTGGTGCATCAGTTTTGTGAGTGTGATTTTATTAGTATTTTAATAAACTCGGTTTTATACAGGACACACTAAGTTTGTTTATCTTTTTACGTACATATATCGGTGGACCATCTGAACCAGGGAACAGTGCAAACTGCCTGGAGGAAATTCCCCATAACCCAGGGAAATAAAAGGGTTAAAGGCGCATTTAGACAAAACTCACAGTAGGTCTAATCATCAAGGTGAGAGGCTGAAGGTGGCAGTATCTCACAAGACGGTGATATTACATCTGTTTCTCCACTTGGATGGGATTGGCATATTGTATGGAAATTCAGAAGGACTTGATACATATGAGGACTATTATTGCCTTTTTGTAGCGCTTTTCCGTGTTTCATTGTTATTGTGCGCACTGTGCGCTTCAGCATGCACTCACCCCGCTCTGTCAGTTTATGGGGCCTACCACTTCATGGCTGAGTTGCTGTTGTTCCCAGTTGCTTCCACTTTGTTATAATACCACTAACAGTTGACCGTGGAATATTTAGTAGCAAGGAAATTTCACAGATGGACTTATTACACAGGTGGCAACCTATCACAGTACCACACTTGAAGTCACTGAGCTCCTGAGAACGACCCATTATTTCACAAATGTTTGTAGAAGCAGTCTGCATGCCTAGGGGCTTGAATGTATACACCTGTGGCCATGGAGGTGATTGGAACACCTGAATCCAATGATTTGGAGGGGTGTCCCAATACTTTTGGCAATATAGTGTACATTCATTTTAATATTGGAAAGTTCATATGACCTGCTTATACTTGTAGTGCCACTCAAAGCAAAAATGGAAGATGTATATTGTCCTGTTGGTGCTCAGAAATGGGGTGCTGGCATGAACTATCAACACTGTAGAGGAAGATGAAAGAAAGAGCGCACAAACCTTGCGCATTACCTCAATAAATAGTGACTAATTTTATTAATAAGGAAATATACTCACAAAATGATTGTATAACAGGCATAAGTAACCATAATCCAAACAGGTTTACAGGTAAATCAAAAAGGGGGGGGATGAAGGCTAATGCGTTACGAAGGGTGCTCCCTTCTTCATCAGAGCTGGGTTTGGCAGATAGAAACTTCAGTATGGCAGAGTTCCCATGGCAAGGAGATATTCAGCCACTGAGTGTCAGTATTACAGCAGTTCATCCTGTTTAGTCCCTAACCCTAATACTGACACTCAGTGGCTGAATATCTCCTTGCCATGGGAACTCTGCCATACTGAAGTTTCTATCTGCCAAACCCAGCCCTGATGAAGAAGGGAGTACCCTTTGTAACGCGTTAGCCTTCATCCCCCCCACTTTTTGATTTACCTGTAACCCTGTTTGGATTATGGTTACTTATGCCTGTTATACAATCATTTTGTGAGTATATTTCCTTATTAATAAAATTAGTCACTATTTATTGAGATAATGCACAAGGTTTGTGCGCTCTTTCTTTCATCTTCCTCTACAGTTTTATTAAGCTTCCCCAGCTTCATGATAGAGCTGCACAACCTCTGATCACCAGTGGATGAATACACAACACGCTGCTTGTCACTAACGCCTGTTTGATCTGAGTCCTTGAGCGCAGGAGATAATGGATCTTTGATGAACTATCAACATCCAGTAGTGTGTAGTATGCTTAGAAAAATCATTGCTCTCCCAGTCCAGTCTGTGTTGTTAACATGTGTGAGATGGCCTCAGCCTTACAACACTCCACAAGCCACACCCTTCAACATGTTTCACCCTATAACAAAGCCCCCGGAGGGCAGGGTGAAACATGTCAGAGGGCGTGGCTTGTGGAGTGTTGTAAGGCTGAGGACATCTCACACATGTTCACAACACAGACTGGACTGTGAGAGCGGTGATTTTTCAAAGCTCAGATGAGATTTAAAGAATTGGCTTCACATATACTTTAAAAAAAATGACCCTCCCTCTCCTCCTAATGTACAACAGATTTTGGGAAAGTATTAAAAAATGCTAAGCGTTTTTAGTACAAAAATTATTTAAGTTTTTAAATGTTTAGGTAAATTAAAATTATTTTCTTTAAATAGCCATGCACAATAATTTTTACCCTTTTTTTTCTAATGTATTTGCTTGCTGGCATTTAAATAATATATTTCTGTAAATAAAAATTAGTAAATAATGACACAATGCACGTTTTATCATACCATACCCTTAATTTTTCTACTCCAAAAAACTGGCCACCAAAGCCAACTCATTAATAGCAGGTCAGATGAATAGTGCGTTCTGCCCAGAGATTAACGCTGGATGACAAAATATCAACTTCCTACTGCTCAATTGCATGCAGTATCTACACAACTGGTAATTACTTTTAATTTAATTAGGTCCCCTGGTATTGTTTCTATCTCATAGATTGCATTATAACATTTGATATGTTAAAGCTACAAGACAAACAGGAAGAAAGAATGGAGCATTTTTTTTCTTCTTCAATTAATTAAACAGAACACTGATTTGGTTCGGCGGAACTTTATAATGTGAATTTGTTTCTACAGCCATGTGATTTGTCCATCCACACACAGCAAGCTTCTAATGTCTTCATCAGCCTTTTTCTATTTCTCTTCTTCTTTTTTTGTAATCACATTATTTACATTAAAGGAACAATTTTGTATTTTAAAGGCCAACTTAAGTTTTTCTTTCAATGAAAAAAAAAAAAAAATGAATATAAAGAAAAAATAAATAGTCCAGCAGTTACAATAAAAGCAGTTTTTGTGTAAAGGCTACTCACCGCTAGATGGAATAAGAGGATCCTGTTCAAGCAAAAAGAAAGAAGATGCCTGGTAAACGTGTGTGTACTAAAACCTGAAGTTGGCCCTAAAAACCAAAGTTTAGGTGAAAATTTTTGTTAATTCAGCACAAGGGACAGTGCTTTAATGAGACGTGTACCTTGTGCTGGTACCCGGCTGCACTAGCTGAAACTACTGAACACTAAAAATGTGTTGCTGTTGTTTGTGTGTAATAATTATCTACAGTGTGAAGTCACTGAGGCTGATTTACTAAAGGAGTTGAACATTTTCACACAATAAAGTGTTGGACTATTCACTTCAATTATCCAATCATGTAAAAAGCAAAGTGAACAGGGTGTTGTGCCAGGGTCAGATTAGGCCTATCTGATCTGGGAGTGCAGTCAAAGTCAGGGGGCATAATATCAGTATATCAATATCATAACAGTGTGAAAGAGATGCAGGGAACCAGTATTCCATGTTCACTCTGCAAACTTCTGTACAACAAGTCACAACTGTCAGATCATCAGGGTCCCCATTAGAGTGCCCCGCCTTATATCAAGTGTCCCTATCAGAGTGCCCCTTACATCAGTTGGCCCCATCAGAGCCAACCCTTACATCAAATGTCCCAACAGAGTTCCCCCTACATCAATTGGCCCCATCAGAGTCCCCCTCACATCAAATGTCCCTTCAGAGTGCCCCCTACATCAATTGGCCCCATCAGAGTCCCTCTCACATCAAATGTCCCATCAGAGTGCCCCCTTACATCAAATGTCCTGTCAGAGTGTCCACTTACATCATTTGTCAGAGTGTCTCTTTACTTATGTTTTACTCTTCAATGTACACCCTAATTTTTCCTATCAGAGTGTCCTCTTACATAATTTGGGGCACTTGCTATTCCCCCAATTCCTTCTTCCAGCATAATTCCTCATCATGGTACAAATCTACCCTTCCCATCCCCTCCCCTTTCCCCCAGCACAAATTCCCCTTCTCCTAAGTCGGGTTAGAAGGGGGTCCAGCACAAATTGTCTCCCCACGTCTAGCACAGATCTTTTCCCCCAGATCACCTCTTCCAGTACAACCCCCCATTCTGAAACAAATCCACCCCCAATCCTCTCCAGCACAAATCCTCTTACACCCCCAAATCCCTCCTCCCAGCACAACCTTTCTTCTCCAGGAAAAAATTATCCCTTCACTCCAATACTCTCCAGCACAAATCCTCCTTCACCTAAATCCTACCTGACAGCACAAAGTCATCAGCTCACTTCTAGCACAAACCCTCCCCCTAAATACAAATCCCCCCCCCCCCTTCTAGCACAAGTGATTGCCTCCCAACGTTCCTGGATTCGATAGGACTGTCCCAAGGTTTGAACAAAATCCCAGCATCCCACAGATCCAGTCCTAGAGCCCAGTACTGCAATTGCCCCTCTATGGCTGCTGGCATTTCTTTGACTTGGAGGGATATGGTAGGGTAGAGCGCTTCACTTCTTTGGCCAGTTGTATGCACCACATGTGGCTCCATGGCAAAGGGATTTTACGGAAGACCATATTTTAAGTCTCAAACCACCTGTGTTCATGAGTCCTTAGGGGTGCCTGCAAGCCTTTATAAACTAATGTGAAAGACAAGGATCCAAATTGTTTGGGAAGTGTTGGAGCTTGCTGCCAACTCCCATCCCCACATTGTACTCTTGGCCCACACTATGTTGGGCTACTTCACTGGCCAATAGGAATGTGCAGGAGAAAGGAAATGGTGGACAGCATGGGATTTGGCCATAAAAGTAGGTGCCTGTATTTATACTATATAGGTTAGTCAGATCACCCATAGTTGCTTGTCATATATTTGTAGCACCCTCCTAGTGTAGTGTAGGCTGGCAGGCAAATTTGAATAGTACCACTGTAATCAGAGCAGCAGGGTTTGACTACCTGGGACTGCTCAGTGTCTCACAGGCCACTGCTCTGATTGCTTCCCCCTGTCTTCTGGAGGATTCTAGAACTATAGCAGGAATAAGGACAGAGCACGCAGCTTGAATATATATGGGACTGCAGCCAATCCCTGGGGAGTGTATGCCCAGTAGGTGGTGAGAGAGCCAATAAATAGTCTGAGGCCTGAGCAACAGGGTCCAGTGATCCTGGGTCCAGTCCTGCTGGAGGAGACCCTTGTGCAGGATTCTAGAGGAAGCCATCAGGAAGACACTGAGGTCCTACCTAGGCTTAGCTGGGAGGCCTATTCACAAGCTAAATCCCAGGGATCAAGTTCGGTCTGGAGAAGCTAACAGGAAAGAGCCAGGAGGAAGTTGATGTGAAAGAGTCCAGCTGTCCAATGGTGGTATGAATCTACATCTCCCTCACTAGGAAGAGCCTGGTGGATATCGGCAGGAGAAAACCGATGATCCTGTGGCTAAACGACCCCAGTGCTGAAGAGTAAGTCACTGTGTATAATTTATAATCTTTGGAAGGAGTGCAGGACACCATCAGCATAGAGATCCTGTGGGGCATTCCTGTTTGTACAGTAAATCCTGAAAGCTAAGGAGTCCTCAAGTTATTAAAGTTTGCAGTTTATCTGAGTATCCCCTGCTCCCTTACCCTATCCAAATTCAAAATTCACAATAAAAACCCAAAACAAAACCCCCAGACTGCTTTTTGAAGCCAGTGGAAGAAAGAAGAAAAGTGCGGTGTGCCTGGCTGTGTGTGCTCTAAGGACTACATTCACCAGTGGCTCCTAAGAGGGTGCGCTGCATATTTATTTATTACAGGTACTTATATAGCGCTGTCAATTTATGTAGCACTTTACATATATATTGTACATTCACATCAGTCCCTAACTCTCAAGGGGCGTACAATCTAAGGTCCCTAACTCACATTCATACATACACATACTAGGGCCAATTTAGACAGGAGCCAATTAACCTATGAATATAATCCAATCCAATGAAAACCCATCTCTTCAGGGAAGCCTACCCCGCCCTCACCTAACAGCCAATCTCCTCCATTCCTCCTACCACTCCATCCCCCACAGCCATTTCCTCCTG